CAGGATAAAGAAAGATTTATTACTGTTTCTTTTTATATACATAGATCTGGTTTTAAACGTTTGATTGCTATTACTCCAGCAAATTTCAAAAGGTTTGAGTTTGATTGTTTGTTAATCACATTGAAGGACTTCAGTATATCAACTTCATGTCCTGTATCAGGGAGATGTCTTGCAATGGCACTGTTGAATGCGTTCAATCCTTTCAATATTGAACTTTTCTGAATATGTTCTTTGAATCGGACGTAGGCTGTCCTTTCTGTTCCACCAATGTAACTGCTTTGGCAGATACATGTAAATTTGTATACACAGTTGGTGGTAATATGAAAGGGATACCTGTAGACCTTTGATTATGTCAAAAAACATGTTGTTTTGGACAGGACAATCAATTTCGCTGCAGGATAAGTTCTTGTCAGTGCAGTTTTTAGTCTCATATTGATTGAACCTGTGACATCGTCACCTGTGAATTGAAGTTGAGTAAAAATAGGCTTTTTATTTGCTGTAATTTCTTTCGCTTTTTTATCTTCACATTTGCCGTATTTATCAAGAAATTTCAGTGGGTATCCGTTATTCTTTAAACATTTTTTAACATTCATAATTTCCTCTTCTAGTGTATCAGAAGTACATATTCTTTCTGTTCTGTGAAACAGTGTTTTGACCAGTGCGTTTTTGTAACTGATTGGACAAAAGCTACTGAAATTAAGGTAACTACCATTCCATGTGTCTTTCTTATAAACTGAACGTTGAACTGTACCATCCTTTCTTCGTTTCATCGCGATATCGAGGAAATGGAACTTGTTTTCTTCTTCATGTTCCATACTGAAATGGATATTCGGATGTGCTTCGCTGAAAAACTCTAGCAGATTTATTGCATATTGTTTATTATTACATACGATAAAGGTATCATCAACATACCTCGAATAATACGTCATTTCATCAATCGCTCGTTTGAGTTTGGTTTTTTCGAGGTTAGCCATGAAAATATCTGCTACGACAGGACCTAACGGACTTCCCATCGCTACATCGTCGGTTTGTTTGTATATGATATCGTTGAACTGGAACTGACCATCTTTTGTACAAATGAGTAATACGAATTTCAGCGAAGGGATCTCTTTTCAACGAATTTATTATCAAGCTGTACAATCGTATATATATGAAAATTTTGTTTTTGTAAAAGTACTAATTCCGTGAGGAAATGTGAACACAGTTAATAAAAAAAGGGGGTTATAATACAAGATTACGTAATATGAATAATAACAATAACAATAGATTTAGTGATTATAATAAGATGAATAAAATGATTTGTTATAATAATTAAAGGTCATAGAGGTGTACAAAAATAAACTGATATGATGAGCGTTCATGAATAAAACAATGAGAATATAAGACATAAGTAAAGGGGGAATGCAGTAATAATAATAATAATAATAATAACATTAATGGTAGGATAATCAAACTAATTAAGGCCAAGGTAACGATAACGATAGGACGTACTTCTTTTGTACGCATAGTTCTGGTTTAAGCTCCTGGATGGCAAGAACTTCGGCTATTTTTAAAAGTTGTATACGAAGATATCTGGGTAGATTTGAACGAATCATATAAACAACCTTAAAATCAATTTGTGGATCTGTTGAATGGTTATAGTCAATTAAGTGTTCAAGAATAGAACTCCTAACTGCTTTCCTTTCACCCTTATAGAACCAGGCTGGGATATGTTCTCGTATCCGAGTTGAAAGCGAGCGCTGGCTACGGCCAATATACCTTGCTCCACAAGAGCAGGTGAACTGGTAGACGCACATATATATACGATTGTACAGCTTGATAATAAATTCGTTGAAAAGAGATCCCTTCGCTGAAATTCGTGTTTTAATTTTAATGTTAAAAGGGAATTATCTGTCAAATGAGTAATAGTCGTTTGAATTCTGGTACTGTTAGAGGTAGGATGTCAGAATGTTGACAAATTATGTCTATGGTTTCAAAAGTGGTATTTTTGTAAACAATGATGTTACATCGAAAGAAACCATAAACTTACCAGCAATATTTATGTGGTTCATGATGTCAGCAAATACAAATGAATCCTTTAGTGTATAGGTGGCTAATCCTTGACGAAATGATTCTAACTTAACTGCCAACCATCGTCCAACTTTGTGGTATGGTGAATTGATCATTGACAAAATAGGTCTAGGAGGATAAACTTGTTTATGTATTTTTGGTAATCCATATATGTGGGGCAAACGAGACCCACGAGGTCGTAGATTATTGTAAGTAGAGTTATCGGTCATCTTCTTTTTTAGAAGATCTCTGAGTACTTTGGTGATTCTTTTCTCAATGGAATCAGTTTAGTCTTTGTTCCATTTTTCTAACTTGAATCTCATATAGTCATTCAAGTTGGACTTCATCTTAGAGACATAATGTGTTTCGTTCATTAGAACAACACTTCAGCCTTTGTCTGACCGTAATATATCATCATTTCGTTTAATATTTGGCAATGCTGTTTCGTGGCCTTTGGATAAAAGCCTAGACTGTGGAGCGGGTGAAACAATATATTGGTTTGCAATATCGACTAGTTTAGATTTAAACCAGCCTTTGTTTTCTTCACTAACTGGGTGAAGCTCTTCAATTTGATCAAATAAATTCTCAAATTGAGTTTCTGTGTCGATTCTGTCGGCATATGTTTTGGGGGTATGAAATTTAAATCCAAGTATGTGTCCTATCCATTTCCATCGCCTTTTCCGAATTCCCTCTTCAGCTGAAACCTGGTTTGTTCTCTCCCAGAGAAGGCTGTTTCTGATGGAATCTGGCCATTGGGTGTTGAGTATCGTGAGTAAAAAACGATTTATAAATACTTGCACCTTTCTGGTGATGGTTGTCCTAGTTCACCAAGTTTCAGCTCCGTACAGTAGAACCGTCTAGACGTTCGCATTGAAGATTCTCACTTTGACATTGGTTGAAAGTTGTTTTGAGTTTCATGATTTCTTATAATTGCGGTGACACAACTCTCTAAGTTTATGAGTAGCCCTGAAAGTCTTGGGATCGACACCATGAGGATTGGTGAATGGACTTATTAGCAAGTCCGAACGTATGACAAAATAAATTCCAAACATTTTTAACTTTTCGTAGTTTCCCACAACACAAAAGTTCATGATAAAAATACTTTCATGCATTAGCAAACTGATTCTCTGTGTAAAATACATCCGTGAATTTAATTTCATTTCATTATATTGATATTCGAAAAATTTACTAAGCACACTCAATTTTAGCTCATTTAGTACAAACACTTAATATGATACAACCATCCACAATAATATATCAGGTTGGCAAAAATCCGCTTAAATCTGTGAGACTGAGAATTCTTATGACTGAAGCAATAGCTATTTCGATCAAAAATCCGGATATTTGTGTCCAGCAGAAGTACGTTCAACCATTCCTTTCACCTTTATCAACTTTTGGCGTAATCGCTTGATAATCATTTTTATGATCTGATGACTTAATTTGAATCATGTTAATCTTCTTAGCCTAATCTAAACTCGTTCACGCATCTTGTCATTATTACTGTTACTATCATTATTACTGTAGTCCTTATTATTACAACACCTGTAGAAACTTTTCAGAATCCACTTCTACAACAATCATCAACAATGTACAGGTGGTTCTACACAATTGTCTGTACAAAATACTTCCTATCCGTTGGTCCGATATCATCAACAACAACCTTCTTTTGAAGGGAACAAATTAAATCGAACGTGAGGAGGAGATTTGGGAAAGACTCTGTAAGTGGGTAGGATGCACACCGCAACACTCATGAAACCGCATCACAAGTCCTGTACTAACTCAGAATCCCGAAAAGAAAGGGAATAAAGAAAACCAATGGACACACTCTGTCAAGGACAGAAGGGAGACGATAAATGGATGAATAGCACAAGAACTAGAAAGAACTGCTCATAAAAGAGTCGATCGATGATCACTAATTGGCTGTTGGTCATTAAAAAAACAGCATTCTTAAGTAAAATCAGAGAATTTCACACAAAATGATATGGTATTTAAAAAATAAAGCATAAACAAATTACTAATAATACTATAGAGGTTTTTCAAACAGTTGTATTCGAATTGGGATTACCAATTTTAGCGTGGCGTCGAGTTGAGATCAACTGTGAACACCGCTACCAGGAAACACGTGCCAGATAAATCAGAAGGCTTAAGAAGCTCGTTCCAAATGACTCCATAAAATCCCCGAGAAGCCGAATATCAGAAGACAGTTAATGGACCAAGTCGAGGTTTATTAGCTGGCGATCTCGTGGCATCGAAAGGATACCGAGATCGTGCCAGGATACAATCTTGGTTACAGAAGGCAACCGAATTCGCGCGAAGTTACAATCAAAGTGTAAGCGAAAGAAAGGAAGCAGAAAATAGCTGTCATTAGCACAGTCAAACAAAAGCACATTAAAACAAACACTGGTACAGTTGGTTGTAATAATAATTGTTTTTATTAAACCAGTCGTGTTCTCGTGATAAACGTGAGTCACTACACAGTAATCAAACTTTGGAACATACTTCCAGGAGAAATGGCACTTACAATCTCCATTTACACATTAGAGAAACTGTTAGATCACCAATACAGCTTTCTAGAAAAGGATTAACACAATCAGTTCACCTTCTGGTTTTAAAATGAAAATCTGAGAATTGAACTCCAGTTATTCTCGATTTTATTACATATAGTCTGCAAGAAATATTTCGATTTGTAGCTTTAAGCAACTTATCACTGGTAGTGCTAAAAAGCCACCGAACGATATTCGTTCTAGTCTCCCAAAGCTAATTGTAAGACGAGTTTATTGGACGTTGAACAACTTGTTTAAGTTACGTTAGGGCGGTAAACATTCGATAGTGAAGCTCCTTGCTCTTATCGAGACGTTGTTGGTGTCTATCCATTCATTATCGTTAAACGGATTTTTTGTTCGTTTCCCAAATATACTTATCAATACGCACATTTTCTTCATCAACGTAAGATGTCAGGTCAGTCACAACGTGGGAAGGCGAAATCTTTGAGGTAAGTTCCTTTTCTCCGACAGCAAAATGTTGTAGAGCTCGAAATCAGCGTATGTCAATGCCCCCTATTAATCCTTTGCGTGTGGCGCATGCTCAGGTATGGTGATATTGATCAGGTTCCTAGCTTCTTTAGAATGCCTCAAATGACAACTTGGGGATATACGCGAACCCCAGACTAACGTATATTCTTGGACGCCATGTTATTGTAAGCATAACTTACTTCATTTATGTGTAGGGAAATGTGGGGGAAATCATTACTATTGAAGACGACCATGTTCACGGTGTGATAAAGGCTATTTCTCCTTCCGTAAGTGCCAATTTTAATATATTGCAAGGCTGACCTCGGTATAACGTACGCTCAAGTTGCACAAAAAAATGACAAAAGTAGTCGTAAAAACGTGTCTGACAAAACCATTCTCTGGACAGAAATTAAAATGGTTCAGATATCTAACGTTAAAAGGTTGGACTGCCTAGTCGGTGAGTAAGAAACTTAATTATGAACTCTTTCAGATGATATAAAAACGGACAGTGAGATCGCCAAAGACTGTTCAACTAACAACTTTGTGGAAGACAAGGAGCTCGTGCCGTTTTTTGCCTCGTCTGATGTTGTTAAAGACTGTTTACTTGATCAAGGAAGCTTTTCTGCGATGGAAATGTTTGAGACGAATGAAAAAATGTTTTCTGTCGTTTCCACGTATAATGACGATCTCCGAGAGTATACGTAAGTTAGATTTCAGTTCTATCTTATTTTCCAGGACACCTGTTGACAGGTCTGCTCCAAATTTCTCTGAAACCGAAGCGCGGTGTGCAAAACTGGCGCAAGACATCACAGAAAATTCTTCATGTATTAGTTTAGTTGACAATGAAGATATTGGGATGGAAAATGAGGAGGAAAAGTATAGTGCTGTTAGACGCAACGGGACAGTCCAGAATTCGATGCGGAATGCGAAAAGCAATTCCCGAACAAATCTAGCTCCTGCAGAAACTCAAGTCAATTGCCTTGGCAGTCAACTGTCTCAGGTATGTATTCAGTCAAGTAAGCCCAGTCACACCGAAGCTGTTCGTGTGAGCATATCTGTTGGGGATGCACTAAAGTCAGACGTTGTTCCACAAGTTAATGGAATATCTAAAACCAGCCCCCAAGCCGATAAAGATAAGGTCAAACTATGTCACGACCAACCTACTAAAGTGTCTACACCTACTTGCGTGTGCACGTCAGCACCTCCTGTAAAAACCAATGTTGTTGATGTACCTGTGTCGTCTGTTAGTAAATCAAGCAGTACTGAAGAGCGTGTTAAGAAGTCAACACTCGATCCCAACGCTCCTGAGTTCCAGCCTATGGGTTTGTCTTATACTTCACATTCTGTTGCTACTATGCCTCCTACTCTTCAACCCAGTTTACCTACTCTAAACATGCCTATTCCACATTACGTATCAACGGTAAACGTTATTTCTCAAGCCTCTCAATTACCGACACAAGCTACGTTTATTGCTGCAGGTCAGCACATGTATGCACCTTACTCCTATGGTCACCAGACACATATTCAACAACTACTACCTACTCCAGTTTGTTCCAATGGACCTGGCACAAACCCTCAGCATGTCCGAGGTAGTGCATTACCCCCGTCTGTTAATCAACAAAGCTATGTCACTCATGGTAGTAATATGATGCATCAGTTAGGACAGAATGCCACATTAGGGCAGATTATTACAGCTCCTCAGGTGATTACAGGTCAAAACTCCACAGGTCGCCTTCCAGTTTGTCCTTCGTCTTCCGTCAACTTCACACGCCAACGTTCCAATGATTCCCCTTCTTCGGTAACCCACTGTACATCGTATCCCGTCCAGCAGTCAACTATGTCTATTCCCACCTTCCAGTCACAAGCACTATACCAGTTCCCTCAACCAAACGGTACGTTCCCTTACTTGGTTTCCAGTCATCCTCCAATGGGACTGCAGTTCCTTTCTGGTTTGCCTACTGCTGTTAGTTCTGGTTTGATGATGGGAGGTGTTCACGTATCACAACCTTCTAGTCAGCAAATATGCCCAACTCATACCATCATGCAAATGCAACCTGCGCATCTACAAATCCCTGTTGGACAACCAGATCAGATTAATCAAACAACTACACCTCAACAAACCTCCCAATCTCAGCAATTATTCTCTCAACACTTTCAAGATCAATCCCACTCCATCCAAATCCCTTCATACGCAAATCTCCAAGCTCCATATCATCACAATCTAATGTTCGCTCCTCAACAGAATTCCCCTGGGTTTTATCCCGGGCCATCTGCAATGATAGCGACACCAGGAGTTAATCATATTGCTCCTGGCTTATCACCCATTGTTGGCCAACCGAATCCTCATCAACTTGGTGCCAGCGTGGCAAATCAGTCGAATCAATCCGACTCTTCTTCAACCGCCTCCCAGCAGTTACAGCAGACTCATATTATGTCTCAACCGAACTGCCAACCACAACAAATGTTACAACATTACCCAGCAATCCCTCAACCTCATCTGCTACAAACACAGCAACTGTCCGCAGCTCAACATATAGCCGGTCACCATATCCCCGGCAACCACACCTACCATGCGCTAATGGCAGCAATGGCGGCCGGTGGTGGAGTGGGAGCTACACAAGCTCATTAGTTACTGGGTGTTTTGTAATGCCGTTGACTGACAAGTAATATATTCTAAGACAAATTCCAGCGCTTTGTAAACTACCCGATGCCTTTCATTCTTGACACTATCTTAAGGTGTCTCAAGTAGTACTTTGTTGAATCGATCTCCAGAAACATGCAGGTGTAATCTCAAATCATCGTGGTTTTTCCTGTTTCTGCAGGGTGTTGACAATGAGTTTCAAATTGTTGTAGATGATTCTGCTCAAATTGTAAAGATCGCTTGTATGCAAAGTTTAGTAAAATATATTATCGCTAAGCAAATAATATTTATTACTGGGTTCGTAACGTATTTTCTTTTACCTAGAGCTGTAGACTGCGCTACAACTTTAGATTTAATTCATAAACAGTTCAGACGCGTCACTTAAGTCCGTTTTGTGACATTTTGCGACCACTAGACGTTAGTAACATCCAGTAAGTTATTGACTCCATCGTACGCCGACCCTGGTGGGTTGCCCGTAGGCTGATGCATTTTCCGGTGTGGTTAGTGCCATCCAGACTTGCAGTGATACTGTGTGCTGAAGTAGTTTGTATTTACCAGCAGTTGGATGTCGATATACAGCGTGGGTCCGTCCTACCGGTAGGTCTAGTCTCAGCTCCGTTTTCCGACACGGTACAGAGACCGGCTTGGTAGTCAGATTCCTGGATAATTTGAGCAAGCAAATTGTCCCAATGTTTTCTAAACGTGAGATCATTGTAAAGTTACACGTGGCAGCTCCCTTGCGTGGTGATTGCTTTAGTGCAGTGATTGTCCGTAGCAATTTCTAAATTCGCGGCTTTTGAGGGGAGTGCATAGCTAGTGTAATCTTTCTCTTGCGTGTTATTGTCCCGCATGCTTTCGCGCGGATCCGTCCCTTGCCTGGACCTAGATATTCATGTCAAGCCTTTGGAGCGATGATTAGGGTGTTTGATTACCGCCTTACACCTTCAGCAACTCTGGTCAGTGTGATGTCACTACCTCTCATTAAGAGTATGCCTAAGCGAACTAATGACAGGGGACATAAAAAGAATACACACGATAATGCCTTGCCTGTCGTTTGGAGAGTCGGACATTCCTCGAGTTCTTACCTCTCTAGCATTGAATGGACGACGATTTGTCTTATTTCCGCGTAGGTTAGCTCCTCGAAAGTCTCCTATACTTGCCTCATTTTTCAATCACGAAATAAATATTTAGGTGAAGTCGACCGGATTTAGGGAGTTTATTTACTGATAGTGAAACTGTCGTGATGGCGACTAGACGTTCATCATGCATCGTAAGCAGTCCTACTGTCACCGACGAAGATCAGAAAAACTTGCAGTAAGCAGGTGCTAGTAATACGTTGTTCTTATCAGTGTCCTAAATGTCAACACCATATGAAATCAGGCACGTTCTATCTACCTACACCCAACTTAGCATGCGTAATTGAGAAAGCAAATGCATAGCTAGATAAGTTTATTTAAAAAATATGGCTAAAATACAGTTTTAAGAACCAACGCTCAGTTGGAACTTTATTATTACTATTCATAATCGTACTACGCGTTCTGTGAAACCTGGTTTTTAATGAAGATCAACCTTTACAGTAGTGTTAAACTGCCTTCCTTTTTAACTAACTGACAAAATTAATTGAGACTTACTGCAATTCTCGTCGACTCTGAACTCTGCACCGACAGAACAACAATCAGAAACTCATTTGGAGTTACTACTGCGTTATCTCCCCTCACATATGGGAATAACTTAGCGTTGCGATGTCAGTATTTTGCAGTCTTTTGTTATAGTGAACAATAAAATCCTGGATGCTAGTGACTAAAACAAAAAGAATTTTCACTTAGTATGCTTCTATTAGACCTGCACTTTCGAAATGCCAAGCAGTGTAAAGTGGTTGACCGCTATATGACGTGACAAAATCTAGCGCATAGACTTATCATCCATTATTCACGTTTCTATGGCCATCTAAAATATGTAGTAATAATTCAATGAAAATCCGTACCTTCTTGCCGAAAGCATTCATCCGACGTTCGCAGCTCCTCTTGCAAACTGGACAAAAAAGTATCAAGTTTCGTTGGGCTTCACTGTGCATCAGACTTGGACTGAAACATGAGCTGCATAACTTTGGCACTAAAGTCTGGTATTGCTGACCACATTTGATGCAGAACAAGATTTAGTTTCGCGAATTTAAGGCAAATTACAAATGTGACTTACTCAGCCGCAAACCCACTGCCAACATGAGTTGACGGCAATGTTCCTAGTTGTGTAGAACTTATTTATAAGCATAAATAAAACATCTACGAATCCAGCCTAGATTCCAGCCATGTCTATGTCGACGAAATTTTACAGGAACCCTGGTTCCGTTTCAATAATACTTTGAGTGATATTAATAAGATTACTGTACTTACCTCGTGGGCTCCTCTGTGTTTTCATCCGTCAAACTATTGACATGGTAACCGGCCAGTTTTGCTGAACAAAACTAACAAATCCTTCGCAGTCTGCAAATTGTCTGTATGGAATATCTGTATATGTAACTCATCACGGTAGTGCATAATCTGTCGCCTGATGTCTGACCAATTCCCACCTGGTTGAGCACTGTTCAGGTGCATGTCCACAAAGTTTTCAGGATACATACAAAGTTCTCCCACAAGCCACTTGCTTGCTGTAATTAGTGCCTGCTTCTTACTGAGTCCATTGATAACCTCAAACTGCTTAGTAGTACACTAAATGATATTTAAAAGTTAGAAACTCATAGAACATATGACTAAACCTATTTCACTAGAAGACAACGGTTTCTTAAAATAATAATGTCAGTGAAAATGCTAAACTTAATTGTTCCGTTTTCCTTATATCAGTAATTAGCCCAGGTTTACCGTGTAGTGCTATGCACATCATCTGGTTTAAATAATGTGTTTCCAGTATCCTTAAACGTAACTATCGATTTCTTGTAGCCATACTTGACTGACGTGCCTATAGTAGTTGCTAAAATACTAGTTTAAAGCCTACCACAAAAAATCTTTTGTACATAACGGTGAGCTACTTGCTCCATCATAGGGTAACGGCTATGCATTGGATTCTTAATGTTCCATATGAGACTCATAGAGAGAAGCGGGTCGCTAATCGAAAGCTCTATGCGAACAAACGTCATCAGCAACACTTGGTGGATGTACATTATAGTCTGTGTTTAAGTTAGTAGCACCGCTCGTATTCCTCAAGAAAGTTACGTAAATTATTACTAACTGAATCTGTTGCACCGCTGTACAATTTAAGATGCGCTAACCTATATATCCCTAATCCTAAATGTTTGGAATTTAAGTACAGAGGTAATAGTAAGGGGGTTTTAATAGCCGTGGAACCTAAATAAAGGAACAATTGACATTCCGTTGCTTTCCAGATGGAAATGAAGTCTAATGTTCGACATTTTCATTGAAAGTCAGAAGGAGCACTTCCAACACTACGAGAAGTGAATTTATTTATGTCTATGATAATAGCTTTTTTAAGCCTCCAAGTCTTCTGTGAGAGAAATCTAGCCACATATTGATTAGTTTCATAACAACTTCAGTATACCATGTGCATTAGATCTAAAGAGAACGTTGAAAAGACCAAATAGAAATGTCTCAAAATTGAAACGTCCTTAATAGTAATTAGGTTGACTGTTGATGTAAACTGTAATCAGTTTACAAAGTACATTTATCATCTGAAAATGTCATCCTTCCTTCAATGGGACGATCCATCCGTAGAAACCTATCGTAACCTTCTTTTCGTTGTGATTCACTGTTTATCTAACATCCGAACAAGCAGGAGCGTCACAGATGCCAACAACTAGTTTGGTAGCTATATATTAGTTGAATCTGACACCATTCAGACCCAAGTCAGCCATTTCTTTCATCTCAGAAACTGTCAGTAGATATTTAATTAAATTCCGAAAGCTTCGTGTCCCCTTCATAGACAGATAACTAAACCTAGGGGGGACGATGAGACCTAATACTGACCATAATTGCTGATTCGAGCCACTTGAAATGAGAAGTCCGCCTACACTAATCACTATACGACCTACGTAGAATGCTTGGACCTAGGAGATCAAGTGTTCCAAACGATACAGCTCGCCTTGATCATCATAGTATGCTGGGTCAAGTACCACTAAGATATAATTATTACGGCACGTTTTTAATGACTCACGGATATGGACCATCCATCCAATGCCGACTAAATATTGTTGTATGAGCACTACATCATTCTAAAATAAATCTTTAGCACATACACGTAGACTGACGTATGCGGTTGAGGTGAGTGTTGATAACAAGAAATGACTCCCTTGTTTCTTTTTAGAGAGCGATTGTTCCGTACCAAGTGAATACTCCTTCATATCATAAGTTATTATCAGTGTTGTATTTATTGTGACTAATTATGTCAGTGATTTTATCCCTTTGAGGACAGGGTGTATGAAAGAGAGTTCTCGTTTCTATCATTTTTGGCATGTCTGTTTTGTGTTAACATACTCACCGATGAACTCCTTTGGGTAATTAACTTAGCAAAAACATGGTTTCCATTTTATACGAATATTCGTCAAGATTAGGACGAATAGTTTGACAGAAATTGAGCGCCGAGTATAGAGAAGTCATCATATATGAAAATTATATTTGAAATAATCTCAGCGATTGAAATTTAAAAATAATTCCAACGTTTCGCGTCCAGCCAACTTGTCTGGACTTCTTCAGGGTAATGATCAGAAGTCCAGACAACTTAGCTGAACGAAACGTTGGAATTATTCAAATTTCAATCGCTGAGATTATTTCAAATATAATTTCCATATATAATGGTTTCCACTGTTTTGAGTTTCATTTAGTCCAAGTTCCTCTTGTGAATTCACCGCTTATTAATCTAGATACTGTTGCTTCCCCATGACGGTATATTTATTTCCATTTTTAAGCTTTGTAAATCCCGATAATTTCTTCACAATTTGTGGTACAATGGATAAATTACAATATCTCTCCCTGAGGTATAAT